TTATTATTTAACCTTTCTATATATTAATAGTATAATAATAGTTATACAACTTTGATCAGTTATTTATTATTTAACCTTTCTATATATTAATAGTATAATAATAGTTATACAACTTTGATCAGTTACTTATTATTTAACCTTTCTGTATATTAATAGTATAATAATAGTTACACAACTTTTGATCAGTTACTATTATTTAACCTTTCTGTATATTAATAGTATAATAATAGTTATGCAACTTTGATCAGTTACTTATTATTTAACCTTTCTATATATTAATAGTATAATAATAGTTATACAACTTTTGATCAGTTATTTATTATGTAACCTTTCTGTTTATTAATAGTATAATAATAATTATACAACTTTTGATCAATTACTTGTTATTTAACCTTTCTATATAAGAAGATTTAAAATACTTTGGCGCCAGAATGATTGAAATGAGTTTTTCTTTTCTGTACTCTAGCTAACTACAACGACTATACAGCCACCAGAAGCTCCACGTCCAATCACAGCTCGATTTGCTGACAGCCTTGACAACGTTCTTATAACTCTCTCTGACAGTGTTCGTCCTGAGGGATTGGTCAACTGTAGTGACGTGTTCAATGAGACAAGTCTGGAATTACTGGGAGAAGGTGAGAACATAACTGTAAATTAACTTGTTATGACCTTTATTATGACCTTTCATGTTATACTGCGACGTTTTGTTTTTCCAAACTGTTATAAAACTTTTACATTTTATATCTTGTAAATAACCGTTATATAACTTTAACGATAACTTTCTGTTCACTTTTACAAAGCTTATTTAAATATATCAAACACATAAGTTCATAAAAAATATTGTTACGACAGCGGAAGTCACGTGACGCTAGTAACACGTCATGAGATTCTAGAAGGATCATGTCTGTTCGTGGTAACTCTAGTCTATTCTACGCGCCCTCTATTTTTCTAAATATATAAGCTAGCAAATGAAGTGACGATATAAAGATAATTGCCGACAGGCAGAGACAGAGACGAACAATTGAGTCAAGCGCGGTAGTGACCGTAAGTAAAGTGCGTGAATCGTTGTGAATTATAGCGTGTGTTTAAGTTAAAGTGACTGTGAAAATTAAGTGTATT